TCTCAGAGATCTGAAGGTCGTAGTAAGACTTCATGTTGCCCTCGTAGTTTCCGATTTGTTGCTATGAACCGTCAGGTGCGAGACAGAAGGGAAGAAGAAGGGAAGAGAGGGGAGGGGAGGGGAGGGGAGGGGGGAAAAAGGAGGGGAGAGAGGAGAGGAGAGGCGACCGAAGGGGGAAGATAGAAGAGAGAAGAGGGGAGGGAAGAGGAGGGGAAAGAGGAGAAAGGAGCAGAGCTGAAGGGAAGAGAGGGGAGGGGAGGGGAGGGGAGGGGAGGAGAGGGGACGAGAGAGGGAAGCAGAGAAGACCAGGAGAGAGGAGAGGGAGTGAACGGGAAAGAGGAGGAAACGGGAGAAGGGCAAAAGTTGATCACTTGAGTTTCTCTGTGCTGTTGGTGTAGAGCCTGCAGCTCCATCTCGAGAGCCTGCAGTCGGGAAGGAAAAAGAGAAGGTGAGCAGAAGCAATTGATGGCAGGGAAAGGAACGCAGGAGGAGCGAAGAATGACGAGGAAGAGGACGGGAGGAGAGCGGAAGTTGGAGCCGCAGAAGAAGGAGAAGATGAAATGGAGCAGCAGTAGTGGGACAGAAATGAGGAGGGCCAGAAGTTCAACAACAAAACGAGCAACACCACCAGCACCAGCACCAGCAGCTCCAGCTCAGGGAGGACTAGGACTAGGACAAGGACAAGGAAGATATCAAGGAGGAGGAGGAGGAGGAGGAGGAGGAGGAGGAGGAGGAGGAGGAGCAACAGCAGCAGCAGCAGCAGCAGCAGCAGCAGAAAAAGTATCACCGAGCAGTAGGTCTGGAGCACTTGGCTCTCATGATCTGACGCCTGTTCGACGTCAGCGTGTCAAAAATTGGAATCGACCGATGAAAAATCAGAAAGAACAGAAAGAAATCAAAAAATCAACCAAAAGTGCAGTCAAATCGAGCAAACCATCACAAAAATCGAAAAAATTCAAGTAGAATTCGAATGCAATCTTGCCTGTTGCTGGTGCTCCAGGTCAAGGTTGACTTGACGGACTTTTGACTCGAGCTGGTCTAAGTCAACGCCCAGCACGGCAAAAGTCAAACTTTTGACACCTGCTGGATGACCCTCTTGCGGTCCAGCAGCTCAGCGTTGAGGGTGTCAAACTTCGATTTCTCCGCGGAGAGCTCGATCTGTTTGACAAGTTTGACAACGTCGCAACCTTGCCCGCAGCCCTACCTGACTCTCGTGGAGGGTCTGCTGGAGGTCGTGGCCTGATTTCTGCGGAACAAGACGGTGAGTCAGCCGGGTTGAGAGAACCTGAGAAACATAACAAGCTCGAGGCTAGAGGGGGTGAAGAAGAGGAAGGGAGAGCAAGGGAGAGAGAGGGAGAGCAAGGAAGAGGAGGGGGGTGGGGGAGAGGGAGGGAGAGGCAAGAAGGGGATCGGGAGGTGTCGCCAGCACAAGCTCCTCTCCGACGGGTCTCACCCTCGCGTTTGTGTCCTGTAGCATGATCTGAAGGTCCTGGACATTCCTCTTTGCAATCGAGAGCTGAAGGGCGAACATCAATCAGAGGAGACCTGCTGAATGCAACTTTCTTCTCTCCTCAACTTCATACGCTCCTCTCCACTTCTCTCTCCCTCTCCATCCCTTTCTCCACTTCCCCCCCTTGTCTCCTCGTTCCCTTGCTCCACCTGGAGAGCTTTCTGTTGTTGTTCCATCTTGAGGCTCTCGAGCTTGCAAACAACGTATCAAACAAGGTTGAAGGAGCAAAGAGATTTGACACCTGCTCGAACTTGCTGTCGAAATCTCGCTGCAAAGAGCTGCTCCCCATGATCAACAGCAGCACAAGAAGGCAAATCAAGGGAGGGGGGGAAGAGAAGGGAGGAGCAGAAGCGGAGGATCAGGATCAGGATCAGGATCAGGATCAGGATCAGGAT